TCTGTGGTCAGAGCATGTGTGTAATTTTCTTTCCATCGAGCCATAACATGGTCACGCTCATAGATAAAAAGATTCTGGTACCACAAATTTCTAAAAACTGAATTTTACCAACTAGCAAATGCACACCCACACACTGGACAGTCAGGATTAAGTGTGATTTGAAGGCACAGTGAGGTCGAAGGTTATTAGCAATAAGCTTGCTTCTGACACCTGTGCTTTGTTTTTGTGAACATTGTTCCTGCTTGGCTCCACCTATTGTCAATAAAAAGAATCTGAGAGTTCAATTAAGTAATAAGAGACTAGAATGTAAAATGTGGGGGTTTTGTTCTTTGTTTTAACTTTTTCAGTTACTATGGTATTTGCATTTCTTTCTGGGAGGATTCTGTCTCTTGTTACTCACGTCTGAACATGGATCTCTGGAAGATGGAGAGTAATGCAAAGCTCAAAGCTTTGGAACATTATAAGCATACTTTAACCAACAGAAAGTAAAAGTGCTTATTTATTCTCATTAAGAGTTGAGAGATCACAGTTATCAGGGAAGAAATAACAAACAGTTCTGTTAATGTTGTAATATTTTCATATTCAAACAGAATAAAGTAGACAAATGGCTCAGTCCAAACAAATATTTTATCAGAAAAAAAAAGCATCTGGAACAAAGAAGATATACATGCTGAAAATTATAACTAATTTTACAAAACTGGAGGTCTAAATTCTCAGGAAAGGGTATCTTTCTCATTAAGTGTTTCTGTATGTCATTATTGGCAAGAGTAATGATATCAAAAGTTTATCAAATTCTACCACTTCTCGGCCTTTTGGCTACGATCAAGTGAAATTTTGTCTAGGTTGCATTCTCTTTTTTTGATTCCCAGAAGAATCACAATAAATTCTTGAGCATATGTCAGAATTTTCCAATTACTATACAAAAAATATGTCAATCATTACTTTCTAAATGGCTTTCATTGCTTTAGGGTTTTGTAACCCTCAGTTCAACCATTAACTGATTCTCTGGTATGCACCAGAATCTTGGATACAGAGATGAAGTAGTTCACCAGATTTTAGGGCAGATAGACATATATGAGCACATGGCTTTGAGATCACATATGTGAACCAATTAATACACTTTGCAGATTCAAAGGTATTAGAGAGGGTGAACGATATTTAGTGTGTCAGAAAAACCTTGCCAAAGGAAGTTATATCTGAGTTGTGTTTTGAAATAAAAATTGATAAGGCAGCCAATATGAAAGAAAAGGAATCCTAGGAATACTCCCTTTCTCCCACACATTTTTAGGAAACATAATAGACTAAAGGTACAAAGGCACAGATATGGATAGTGAAGCACACCTGGCGAGAATGTGGGCTTGAGAGAGAGGCAGGGACCTGTCCTGAGGGCTTACATGCCTAGTGAGAGAGGTTCACGTGATTCTGAAGAGGAGACCCCAAGCGACTTTTGCTGTAGGACCTTTACTCTGATGGCTGCATGAAGTCCCAAAGCAGCGAGGCCAGTGAGGCGGCCCACAGGACTGGCAGGCAGAGACGCGCTCAGGGTCCTTTACAGTCGGCCTCATTTGGGCACCGTTTACACCCCCAGGCTCGTGAAATTAATACGTCCGACACTGCCATATGTCGGGAGAGTGTGAAGAGCCACTTGAGCAACACCCTGGTGTTATCCTGGAAGATGAGGATGGGCACACGTGTTAACAAAGAAAATGGGCAGGCGACCAGCGACCCAGCCAGATAGCAGAGGCTGCCCGGTGTCCTGGCGATGACCCCAAGGCCAGACTGGGGCAGGGGGTCCAGGAAGAAAGGGAAGGGACCTGGGAACTGTCATTCCCCATTCACTTCCCAGGATACACACACTGACCCCAGGGCTCCCCTGTGGAACCTGACCTTGGGAACTGCTACCCATCTGAGTAGCGGGTGGTCATCCTAAGGCCAGCACCCTAGACAGGGCCCCCTGCAGCCCCTGCCCTGAATAGGGGCTTACAAGGGGGAAGTAGGGCAGACACCCAGACCTCATTCAAAATGAGAGGACTATTCTATTCTAACGGTGAAGTCTGTGAGGCAACAGGGCCCTGTATTCAGGGAGCCCCAGTTGGAGGGGTAAGGTGGAGGTAGAGGCCCGTGCTGTGCTGTGAATCGGCAACCTCTAGCCAGGTCTCCCTTTTCAGACAGGCCAAAGAGCAACCCCACCTATTCTCTAGGATGGAGGTCCCAGCTGCCTCCATTACCCAGCCTCCCTTGCAGCTAGATACAGTCATGTGTCTAAGTTCTGGATCACAAAACATAAGTAGAAGTGTGCTGTGGGACTTCCAGGGATGCCGTTTATTCTCTGGAACACGGAGGTGATAGCTGAGCTCAAGCAGCCACTGTGGGGCCATGAGGATGGTGGTCAACCCTAGGGACTAGCGGAGAGCTGGAGGGACCCAGCTTCCACAGCTGTGGAGCCAACACCAGCCCCTGATGTCCACCAGCCCCTGAACATGGTTAGTGTGAAAGAAAAATAATCTTACTTGAAAAAAATAAAAGAGGATATAAAAATGTCCAATCAAAAGATGAAAAGCATCTGAAGAGACATGGTTTGTGATTCTAGAAATGAAAAACGCTAATTAATTAAGCCCATACTTCCCACTTGGAACTTCACTGCCAGTACTTATGAATGCTACATGTGCAAAGACGTAGAGATTATGAAAAATAATCTAGAGCAGGGAACATGCAGATAGAGGATTTAGACAATTGATAAGAACTTCTCATCCAAATTTCTCACCTTTATTAACACTTAACAAGATATTCTCTTCTCCTCACCTCTCTGCCCACTTGCTCTCTGAAGTTTTAGTCCCTTCTCCTTCAGCCAGTCTCACAGTTCTTCTAATTACCTCTTTTTCTTCATTTCCTGCTTCTTTCTCCTACATTTTTCTTTCTATGCTCTCCTTTCCCTCTCCTCTATCTGAGAACTAATGGTGAATAAAATGACAACAATAAAAATGACAAACATCTTAAGAGACCAACCAGACCAGGATGAGTGTGTTCACTACGTACACACACTGTAGCGCCTGGGGAGAGGCCCTACCAGCTAGGATTTAACAAGAAAAAGAGGCTAGAAAACTAACATCTAAATTATCTTTCTGAAAGGAAATGCATATATATATATATATATATATATATATATATATATATATATATATATTAGAGGCCCAGTGCATGAAATTCATGCACGGGTAGGGTCCCTAGCAGCTGCTAGCTGCCTGCAGGGCCTCCCTTCCCCCAGCTGCCTGTGGGTGGGTGGGATCTGCGGGGGGGAGGGGCCACGAATGGTTGGCCAGCCCCACCCCCTGGTCAAACTCCTGGTCAAACTCCCAGTTGAGGGGACAATTGCATATTAGGTTTTTATTATATTGGATATGTATATTCTGTTCCTCTGACATCCAATGTTCTGAAAAGCTAAAATTCAGAAAAAGCTGAGCAAAGAATTTTACCACCCACAATGGGCTCTAGTTTTATACTGATGTGGTTTTGTGTGACAGCCTCTACCTATCCGGCTCAAGGGAAGGGCTCTCAGCTGGAAGGATTCCTTTGACGATGATCCTCTTTTAAGAAAGAACAATTGGCCCAGCCAGGGTGGCTCAGTGGTTGAGCATTAACCCATGAACCAGGAGGTCACAGTCCAATACCCGGTCAGGGCATATGCTCAGGTTGTGGGATCAATCCCCAGTGAAGGGTGTGTAGAAGGCAGCTGATTGATAATTCTCTCTCATTGATGTTTCTGCCTCTCTCTCCCTCTCCCTTCCTCTCTCTGAGATCAGTTATATAAAAAAGAACTACTGTGTGAAAATTATGAAAGTATTATGGTTAGAAGGTGAACAGTGATCCTTCCTTTGTATGTCTGCCTCTCTCCAAAGATGATGGAGTGACTAAGGTTAGACTCTCGTTAACTACTTCCATGTTGTTCTTTCATTAATTATCTATTGGAGGATGGGGGTAGGACCAGGAAATGTATTTCCTTGCTTTCTGGTAATAGTTGTCTGCCCCAAAGCTGACGTATTTCCTATCTTGAGGGAATGAAATCCTATATTTTATTATTTGGAGCAACATGAACCTAGTGCTTATGATGTCTTTGACCCATTAAAAAATGAATTTTTATTTTGGGAATGGCTAACTCAAAAATAGTGTTAAAAAAAATGCCCAATTTTCTCAGTAGTCAGGTAGAATTTTTTTTTCTGGGTCAGAAAAAGAGCTTTCAGGAAGTATTCTAATAATATTCTGTTATCTTCACTCTTCAAACATGGAATTTTGATTTTATTATTAGATAATTTGGTAAAAAATTCTGCAAACATTTAAAAAATATTTTGCCTGCCTAATAAAAATATATATTTTAATGGAGGTGTCAAATTAATAAATAGCCATAAGCCTGGGCCGTGGCCTGTGGACATTGCGCCCTTCTTAGAAACAGAAGGTTAACTCATTTTGCTTGCTCTAGTCACTGTTTTCAGTCCCACCTCGAGTGTGTAGCTCCTGAATAAAGAATGTTCACAAAAGTCTAGTGTACTCACTTTACTAAGACAAAGAGTTTTATGTGCGGACAATGGAAATGCTAGTTTCATTTGGGCAGGGCAGTTCTTTGTAGCTACATAGCATCCATGGCTATCTTAACCTCTTCAGGCTGCTATAACAGAATTCCACAGACTGGGTGGTTTAAACAATTCTTCATCACAGTTCTAGAAGCTGAAAGTCCCAGATCAGTATGGTGAGGGCTCTGTTTCTGGTTTACAGACTGCTGCCTTCTTGCTATGTCCTCACATAAGAGAGACATCACCTCTGATCTCTTCCTCTTCTTTTTTTTTTTTTAAGTACCGTTTAAATTTTTATTAATAAAACAGAAAACAAACATCAGACAACTGCTTTGTTACTCTTTGATCTGACCATATGCCAGATAAGTGATTCTTTATGAGGAGGTAGGAAAGAACTGTCAATATACCAGTTCCATTAAAAATGGCATACTGGAATATCTAATAAAGTTAGGTAAATGAAATTACAAAGAGAACAAATTAAATATTAAAAGTAACAAGAATCTATCCCTCAAATATCAGGGATCTCCTTTCACAGTCTTCAGTGCAGCTCATTTGCAATTAAGATCAATCATATTGCATAACCCCCAAAGGAAAAAACTGAGGGAACTCATGGATAATTTTCACAGCTTCATTGTAAAGTCCAAGATCAAAAGGATGGTTATCTTCTTTAAACTGGACATAAGCTGAGCACATAATGGTTGCCTTGGATGTTACTCTTCCAACTACTTCCACGATTCCAGAGATTTCTTCATCAAGAGGCTCCATCAGCTCAATGGTTGCACTTTTCCCTTCTCCATCTGAAAGAATAAACATTTTTCCAGTGGGATGAATCTTTTCCAGCCTCCCTACGAAGCAGATGGGCCGGTCGATGGACTGGGCTAGCATGCTGGCGTTGATACGCGACTTGGGCAACTCCATCACCTCCACCATCATTTTGGACGGAGCCTCTTCCTCTTCTTATAAGGACACTAATCCCTTAGAGTCTTGCAAGGTGGAAACCCAGGTGTTCCGCTGGACTCCTAATGCGGGCTCTGGAGAATCCAATTCATTATGCATTCAGGTTGTCGGACAAATTCATTTCCATGCGGTTACATGACCACGGCCCCTGTTTCCTCACTGCTTGTCAGCAGGGGCTGCTCTCAGCTCCAGAAGGCTGTCTGCATTCCTTGGCACGTGCCTTCCTCCATGTCGAAGTCAGCTAAAGTGCTTCCAATTCCTGACTTCTTTTTCTGCTGCCAGCCAAAGAAAACTCTCTGCTTTTCAAGGGCACATGTTACTGGATTAAGCCTACCTGAATAATCTCCTTTTTGTCATTTAATATAGTCATTGGAATGTTACTTCATTGTCTTCATAGATACTATCCACTCTCAAAGGGGGAAGGCATTTAATATGAAGGCAAATTTCATGGAGGGGTCATTCTCAGAGCTCTGCCTATTACACGCAGACCAACCTACTCTCTATAATAAGGGTTTGATGCATTAGTTTCCCAACATAATGTATTTAATCTAATCAACCCCAAACACCTAGACACAGGATAAACTTGAATGTCATCTGTTTTCAGACCTTTCAGAGATTCATTCACTCACAAGTGTTTTAGTTTGTTTGCTTGTTTTTTTTAATGTGTAGCAGTTATTTTGTGTGCTCATGCCTTTTTCCTATTGTTCCCCACCCCCCTTGTTTTCCCTCCTTTTTTACATGTTAGGAAATCAATTCTGTTAATTTACAGCATTAACCAGAGTATTTTTAAATGTTTTCAAACCTATTTGCCATATGTTATATAGGAAGGTCACACACAAGTCCATGATCAAAAAGCAGGAATGACGGCTGTGGCCTCTTGGCACAAAATATATATATATATATAAGAATGCAATATACTTATATACATTTGTTTTTTCATGTTGCTCTCTGACATTTTTTCCCTTAACAATATGCCTTGGTAGTCCTTCCATTTATGTGTTTAGTTTTTATTGTTGCATAACAAATTACCACAAGCTTAAACCTCACCCATTTATCCCCTCCCAGTTCTGTAGGTCAGAGTGAGAAGTGAGTCATGGCATAATCGACTGGAGTCTGGCAATTTCAAAATCAAGGTGTCAGCTTTTGGGAAGAATCTGCTTTCAAGCTCATGCCTTTTGTTGGCGGAATCCAGTCCCTTTCTGTTGCCTTGACACTTGGCTCTTCCACCTTCAAACCTTCAATGGCTCACCCAATCCTTTGTATGCTTTGAATTTCTTTCACTGACTCTTCTGCCTTCCTCTTCTGCTTTGAAAGGCTTATAAATTTACATTGGGCCCATCTGGATAACCAGGGTAATCTCTGTAACTTAAGGCCAAAGTGATTAGGAACCCTAACTACATCTGCAAAGCCCTTTGCCTTATTAAATAGCATTTTCACAGTCTTGAGGATTGTACAAATAGCAGAACCAAAGCTGTTAAAACTCCCAGTCTAGACTTGACAACATTGCCAGGCATCTGTAAAAGTCTTCCTTATTAGCATTTGGGATTCTGTGTCAGTTTGTACAAAATCCATTAATTTAAGCAGGCTTGTAGGATTTTGATAATTTTCCTCACTCTCTCTTTAAATCAAAGCAGATGAAAATTTTGGTCTATTTTAGTTTCAATGACTCCCTGTCCCATTTCTTAGAGAACTTCTGAACCTTAATCTAAGGTTCTACCTGCTTTTTCATTCACCTGTAATAAATTCTGAAGCTAACTGCATTTTTATATTTTTCTATTCCTGAGAGATATAAGTTCAGAATTTCTACCACTGGTGTGTATGGTTAGTTGTACAAGAGCCTGTCTCCTGAAGTAGGCAGATTATCTCTAGACTAGGAATAATAATTTATTCCTGTCATTATTCTCATCTGCCATCTACCCTTCCTCGCCCCCCCCCCCCCCGCCAAACACACACTCCATATACATTTTGTATTTATAGCACATAGCAGGTGCAATATATACTTATTGACTTGATCCAGTTATTTACAAATTTTGTTTAGTATCCCAGCATTTCATTATTTTTTAAATCTTTATTGTTGAAAGTATTACAACATAATACTTTCAAACAGCAACATGTCCCCTTCCCCCCCCCCCCCATTGACTCCTCCTAGCCCACACCCATTCTTCCTCTCCCCACTTCCCAGCCCCAGGCCTTCACCACACTATTGTCTGTGTCCACGGTTTTGCATATATGCATACAAGTTCTTTGGTTCATTTCTTCCTACCTACCTACCCAACCCTGCCTTCCTAGGAATATTTTGGAACTGGCTTTATATTCATGGTGTCTGCAAGACAATAGGACTTCAAATACATTTAATAATTCAAGAAATTGTTAAATCACATAATTTTTAAAAAATCACATTACTTTAATGGTAATGGTAACCCAGCTCTGCGGAAAACATTTTTTAAGGAACATATGGTTGAAATATCTAAGTAAATATACAGGGCATATTTCTCTATGTTTGGGGAAAGATGTCTAATTTCATAGACCTTGACACAATGATAGATACAGGGGAAAATCCACATTGAAAAATGTAATTTCTCACACATATATTTTACATTGCAATCATGGTTTCTACTTCTCAAAATTTAACCTTGAATCCTTACACGTATGAATAATGTGTGGAATGTGCCGTAGAGTCTGGCCATCTGTGTAATTTATCCTTTGAAATGTTCCCTTGAATGTTGCAACTGATCCAAAACCACAGTATCTAACTTTTAAATTATCTTCTTGACTTTTACCTGTGAAATTACTGTTACAGAACTTAGCCACACTGAAGGCTTTATTGGCTTTGGATCCTGCGGAATCTTAGAAATGCCATCTTATTCTAAGTTCATATCACCGAGGAAGAGCTTTGTTCCACACTGATTCACAATGGCCATCCCTTCTGTTTATCCATATAAGGGGCCATTTAGCAAAGCAGCTAAATGCTTATGCTCTATTTTGCTAGAAAACTGAAAGAAGATACAGTCTTAAAAGGAATATACAATTGGACTGAATGTGGCTACGACCTAATAATAACTATCTCAGTAATTACAATAATGCCAGCCATCACTACCATGTATGTTGTTAAGCACTTAATGTGGACAAAGCTTTAGCTAAAAGCTTTATGTACATTATTTCACTTACTCTTCACACCTATAAGACAATGGGTCTCCTTATATTCATTTCACAAATGAGGAAACTGAGGCTCAGAAAGATGAGGCAACTTTTTCAAGGTTATGCACCTGGTCCAGGGCAAATCAGGATTAGAATGCAAAATACAAAATGACTGCAGAGTTTATGCTCTTAATCCCACGGCTGTCTGCCTCCCTCTACTATACCCTGCTGTGGACTATGTCGGGCCCAAAGCCAGAGACACAGGTGAGCAGACCTAGGCACCAACCACAGGAATTCGAGGGCTAACACTGAAACAAGACAAGTGAGATACATCCATTTTAAAGTCACATAGCAGGAAAAGGGTGATATATTTTTTAAAGACACAGATGTATTGCAGTAGGTGTGCCTGTTTATATTTCCCCCTGCTTATTTTACTCTTGGCTTCAGTAGGTGTGCCTGTTTATATTTCCCCCTGCTTTTTTTACTCTTAGCTTCAGTTCTTGACATAATGAAAGAGAGCCTCATTACATGCTAGACTTAAAAATCTGTCTCAAATAAATTAAGAATATGTGCAAGTGCATATTCCACCCTTTTTAGAACGAGAGTAGGTGGGAATAATGATAGCTCCACGGGTGTGACTTTTCTAGGTGCAAGCAGCTCTGTAACTTTGTTAGTAACCAGGCTAATGGTGGGACCCCAAGTCTAACATGCCTGATGTGTAATATGCGTTGCCCATGAACACAGACAATAGGGTGGTAGAGGCCTGGCGTAGAGCAGGAACTGGGTGGTGGGGGACAAGAGCGGGAAAGAGGGGAGCATCTATAATATTCTCAACAATAAAGATAAAAAAGAAATAATATCAATTCTTTTAAAAGTTCAACATGCCTGATGTGATACAATAGCAAGACATTGGACAGAAGATTTATTCAATTCTTTGTAGCCAAATTCAACTTCTGTTCAATTATTGTATTTCTTCACAAGCAGTTGCCTTTTTATGCCTGTTTTGTGAGGTCAAAAATATAGAGTTCAAGGGTAAAGACAAAAGTAGAGGCAGGTCTTCAAAGAAGACACAACCAAAAGTGGAATGTTCCACTATGAAGTTCTTACTTAAATTGATCTATATTGGTTCTAAATTTTCTGAATAGAGAAGAGCTAATGCATGCAGTTTAATTTTTCCATCCCAATAGAACTATAGTCAGAACACTGTTTACTTTTTTTTTTTTTTTTTTTTTTACTGACTGGTTCTTCGTCCTGTTAGATTTTTAAAGAGATTTCAACTTCCCCTTACTAACTCCTGAGACATTATCAATTAACCACACACAGCCCATCGACCACAGCATAGCTGTAATTAAACTAAATTGCTATGCAGCAGCTTTCATTACACAATGACACAGTTTTTGTTAGGACCATAGAGAGAGTTTAATTACACGTCTAGATTCCTGAATTCAGAGAATCAGTATTATCTTCATCTGCTTAAAAGAGAGTTTAAGCTTTGAGTGATTGCATATTTTTGAAAGACCAAATGGTAAGATATGTTTGGGTCATTTTTTTTAAATCCTACATTCTATTTTAATACTTAAGAACCATTTACACATCTGTGGATTTAAAGAAAAATGTACAGATTTTCACTCTTTTCTATTTGATATAATTTTCACTTGTATCCCAAAACTTTCTCTAATCCACCCCAAATATCCATTCTTAACTTATTAATGTATAAAGCATGGAGCGGTCTGAAGCACATTAATCTTTCATAATGTTTCTTCCAGCTTCTTCATTATGAAGAAGCTCGTCTTTTTGCCTGAGGATAAGGTGCTTTCTACTTTCATCCTGTATCCTGCCCAATCAGCTTCTCCAGCAGAACAGA